CCACAACAGCCCCACAGGATTTGTAGGATTATCTTAAATTTGGAGGCTTCCTGTCAGTGCTGCTTGCATTTAGCCCCTGCAGGGACACCAGTGTGCCCAGCTCCTGGGAAGGACCATGAAGCCCCAGGATGAAGGTGAGCCATGGGGCTGAGCTGCCCAAGCCGTGTCCAGCCAGGGCTTCTGCCTGCAGCTCCTCCAGAAAGCAGGCTCCTCCCTGCCTTTATGCCAGAAAAAAAATCTCCTTTTCCTATTTGGGCCTTTTTTTTTTCCCCTTTTGACACACTCTGTACTTCCCATGTCACCCACCCAGAGTCAGAAGCAGCAGAGGAACCCTCACTGGTGGTTCCCATCCCACCGTGCTGCTCCTGAGCTGAGACAGGACCCACACCCCAGAGCACCCCCAATGGCTCCCACCCTCCAGGGCTGGGTTTAGCTCTTTCTTTTCCACAGTAAATGTAAACCCCACATTCCAGCACCTGCTGTGGGTGGGTGGGGGGCACTGGCCCCGTGGCCTTTTGGCACCCAAAAGCTGTAACAGAATCCAGATTTTTCTACCCCAACATTTCATAGCACAGGCAGACATGAATCCCAAACATTTGCCTTTTCAGGGCCTGTTCTGCCTCAGGGAAAGGAGAGGGCTCCTTCTCCTCAAAGCACACAAACCCCTTATGCCACCAGAGCCAAGGTCTCAGCACTTCTCAGTGTCCCTTTTCCTCTTTTCTCCTGAAGGTGCAGGTCACCAGAGTGAGAAGAAATCCTCACCTCAGGGCAAAACCCAAGTTACGAAGGAGATGGATTCTAAATGTGAACTTCATGTAGGTTGTTACTACCTTTAACAAGCCCTTTGCCTCTGTTTTAAGAAACCTGGCTTGGATAAAATGGATTACTGGCAGGGCAGAACCCTCCTGCCAAGCTTCCACCAGAGCACATGCCCTGAGGTAGCCTGAGAAAGGCTCTGCATCATGCCTCAAGGGAACTGCCCTCGAGCCAGAGAAACCACTTTTCCAATTATTTCCAGCACTACTAAGTGGGGGGAAACCCCCCTGTGTGTGTGTGTGTTTGTGCAGTGGCACAGAGGACAGCCTGGGCACCCAGGAGACTGATGGCTCCTGAGGTCCACATCAAAGTGAAGGGGTCTTCTAACACCAGGATCAACAAACACTTTAAATACATTTAAAATTGGTGCTGAGAGGGTGCTGCAGTCCTCTGCCAGGCTGCCCTGCCTCAGGCAGTGTGAGCATTCATGCAGCTTGTCAGGGAATGGCTGCAGAACTTCAGCTGGAAGGGAGCCAAGCATCTGCCCAACAGGCAGCCAGGACAGCATCAGGCTGAGCTTTGTGCATCTCCACGGATGGACACCCCACACATTCCCATCGTGGCCTCTGTCCACTCACAGAAGGGTTTTTTAACCCCCTGTGCCTTAACAGAATTCATTGCAACCCATGTTCTTTGAGAGGTGGGGAAGGAGGCAGGTCCCAGAGCACGGGGAACTGCACCTGACCCTGGTTCAGAGCATCCAAGCAGTGTTCCAGGACTGCAACATGGTCAAATCCAAGCCAAGGAATTAAAGATGGCACCTGTCTGTGTTTTCACCCATGTTGCTGCTTTATTCCCTGGTGGCCTCAGGAGAAGGACCTACAAACAGCAGGAGAAAAAGCAAAGAGCAAAGCCACAAACTCTCCTGCTCCTATCAGCTGAGGAGGCTGCACAAAATCTTGGCTGCCTTTGTGCAGAGCTGGGGCAGGTGGGAGCTGAGAGGCCAGCGAGGGCCTGGACCAGGGGCAGAGCTGCCCAAGACACAGACCCTGCTGGAACAGACCAACCCGTGACAGTTTGTGGGCAAAACTTCATAGGTCCTGCAGGGAACTGCAATTTCTGGGGACAACTGGGTCAGGCCCTGGTCACTCTTGCTTTAGGAATAAGGAGGGTCCAGGTCCAGGTCCTCCCTCTACACCAAGAATGACAGGTTGGGATGTACAGTAAGACTGGTGTCTGCCATGGCTGCTTGATTTATTTTTGTTTATGCCTTTCTTTCACTACAGCCCGTCTTCAAATTCAGTAGCCCTGAAAATACCAGAGCAGTGTACCCATATTGCGTCAGAGAACAAAGGACAATGGATCTTCTCAGCCACAGACAGCATGGTCAGCCCTGACCCCTCCACCATCCCCTACCATTCCCCCCTCTATCCCCCTCCACCAACCTGCCAGCCCAGCCTTTCTCCAAGGATCCTGGCAGTCCCTGCTGCCCCTGAGCTCACCACAGAATTATGGAGCTGCTGCTTCATTAAACGTGTCAGACAGCAGGATCATGGTGGGAAATGGAGGTGATCTGGGCAGCCTTGATGCTGACCTGGCATGGGAACCTGCTCCTGCCCCAGGGCCACCCTGGGGAGGTGTGACCTGCAGGTAGGAAATGGAAGTCTTGTCAAAGCAGCAGTTTGTTGTCACATCACGTACAGGAACAGGTGACTTCTGACCATCCCATTACATGAAGTGCATTTCATGCCTCACAAGCAGCACAAGATACATGGGCACAGCTCTGCTGCGTGCCAGGAGGCAGCACTGGAGGCTCAGCCCAAGCCCCACTCCTGGTTTAACCTGGGGCAAAGACAAAGGTTGAGTTTCACCAAACCACCTCAGATCTCTTAGCCTCTGAGCAGCCTCCAACTACAGCTCCTCAGGAGCTGCAGTGCCCGGTATCCTGGGGAGGAACACCTTGTCTTTACTTCAGAAATCAATGTTCCTGCAGCTGCTCACCTCTTCCCACCCATTTGGGATGGAATTTATTTGGAGACCTGAGTTTTCCTATTAGCAGAGGCTCCAGCTCTTTCAGGACCTGGTGTGTCCAACAGCAGCAGGTCTCCACCACAGCCAACTTCACTCTCCTGCTGCAGCCTCTTCCTGCACAGGCCTCAGGCAGATCCCATTCCACAGATTTTAGCAGCCCAGCTTCACAGAACACCGCGCTCTCTCCTATACACCTTCAGAAGCAGCAGAACAACTTCCCCCTCCCTGAATTCCTGCAACATACATTGCTTCAAGTCCTGCTCCAGTCAGCACGTTTTCCCCTGGAGCTGGCAGTGCCCTATAGCCACCATTCTGAGAGGTCCTTGCAAAACTGGAGATACCAGCAAGAAAAAGGTTGATCAAATATTGTCAACACTTTGCAGAAGAGGAAAACCTACCTTGCAGGACATTCTTCTGAGTCCAAGGCTTATACAGCTCAGCCTCTTGGGAATAATTTGATCCCCTTTCCCTTTGGATAAACAGCCCAACATTAAGATTCATGTCTTTGCTTTCCAGGAGGCTGTTAGCCCTGCAGTCATGGTGCTGCTGCTAAAAGGGCTTTTAGGAACACATTAGTCAGCTAAAGCATCATCTCCAGGATGATTTCCCTTCTAACATAGCTTTCCACAGCCTGGAAGGCCACAGGTCATCCCTGTGCCACCCTGAGGGAAAATCCAGCCTTTGCTGGAACCAGAACAAGGTTTCCCCTGGATATACACCTCCAGCTGTGCCAGGGTAACAGCTGGACAGAGCTGCCAGGGGTGAGAACCAAGGGTAAAAACTGTCAAGTGAAACCATTTCAAGCTTAATACACACAGAACCTCTCCCAAGGTTAGATAAGTGTGCTTTGATAAATGAGCTTTGGTTCCCAATTGGATCCTCTCTGAATGAGATCCCCATGATGGTGTTTGCACAGCCCTCAAACAGCTCACCTTGAGCAAGCAAGGATAAACCTTTTCCTCTCCCCCCATTGCTCAACAGCTGTACTTGCATCCCCACCCCAACCATGACAGGGTGGGCACAAACTGGTGCTGTCTCTAGTCAGCAAGTTCCCTTCAGGGAGATGCTTTTGTCTGAGCAGCAGCTACACAGGAGCAGGATGTCAGCACCCCTGCAAGGTGCAGCCACCAGCAGAAACGCCCAGAACATTCACTGCTGAACACTGGTTTCATGACTGACAGGTTTTAGGACCCATTTCTTGACAAGCAGTACCACAGGATGTAGAGAATGCCCAAGCAAGGGAAACACCAGCACTGAAACTGTTTTTTCTTTCAGAGGGCACCCCAGGACCTGGAACATATGACGTGGACAGTGGATACAGGGCCTGCTTACCCAGCTCCCCCAGCATCACCATCCAAGGGGTCCGGAGACCCAAGAGACACGAGACTGGGCCCTTTCTCACTCTCTAAGGCAGAGAACCAGAGGATTCCACCCACCACCACCACTTGCTCTTCAGCAATAAAATAAAGCACAGAAATTGAACTTAAGAACCAGAATATACTTGTCCCAGTCACCAGTAGAAATGCAGCTCTCTCCTGTGCTTCAAGGCAGGAGAAAAAGCTGAGAAAAAAATCAAATTTGCTAAACCACAGAATCATAGAATGGGTTGGAAGGGACCTTACAGATCTAGTTCCAACCCCCGTGTGCCACCCAGGCCAGAGGTTCCTCCTGATAATAGGCTAGAGGAAGAGCAAAGGGAAACTGACCCTGTCCCTGCTCCTCAGGATCATCGAACAGCCACACCTTGGATTTCCTTCCCCACAAGCCCTAGGGAAGGCCAGCAGCCCAGAGCTGTTCCCCTGCCTGGCTGTGTTTGTGTCTTGGCTGCAGTGGCTCAGGAGACACCAGACCTCTCACTGCAGCCCATCCCGATGAGGGGCAGCACCCACTGCTCTCAAGAGCTGCACACTGGCCCTGGCAAGAGCTCCCAAGGCTCTACACAGGCCACATCAATGATCTTTGCCCTGGCTTGAGGCAGCTCCTCTCAGCTCAGTGTTGCTGCAAACAGTTTAATGAAACAAATGGGTATACAAACCATCAGCCTGCTCAATACACAGGGCAGGTGGTCCCCAGCTCAACCCCACTCTGTGCAGCATAGGACAAGGACAAATGGAGGCAGCAACACTCTGAAGAGAGCTGGGTCTTTTATTAAGTATTTAAGGTGCTACAAAAAACTTCAGGAGCCTTCATATGGCAACTTCTTTTTTGCAGTCTTAGCTCTGTTGGAAGAAGGAAATAGAGCTCATGAGTGGAATCTTCAAGCAAACAGCCCAGTACAGCAGTTTCAGAGAGGGATACTTACAGCTGGGCACTCAATGGCACCATTATTGATGTCGTCAATGATATCATGGGGGTGCCTGCCATCAATGCTGCAGCCTACAGACTGAGCAGTTCCAAGGATCTCCTTGATGGTCCCTGCAGTGGGAAGATTCAGCTCATCAGTGCTTGATCACAGGAGAAACTTTGAAAAACACAGAGGACTTGATTCCTCACCCAACTGTCCCTCTCCCCCTCCAGGGTTAGCAGGCTGTAGCCACAGAGTTCACCAGGGACAGCACACCACTTAACCCTCATCTAACATACTTGTTCCCAGGGAATCCACCCAAGAGCACCGCACCCTTGCCACATCCCTTTCACCCTGTACAGCCTGTGCACAGGCTGGCTGCTCACAGCCTCTGCTGTGCCCCTCCTGGGGCACTCCATGCCCAAGCCACACAAGGGGCTCCATCCACCACCACAGCCCCTCCAAGCCCCATCCCAGAGCCTGGCTCAGGCAGAGGGAGGACCCTGCACCCAGGACGTACCTGAGAGCTCCCGGGCCAGGGAGCGGTGCCGCATCTGCCGCGCGATGTTCACGATCTCATCGAAGCTGACGCTGCCGCTGTGCTTGACTGGGGAGGGAAGGAGCAGGTTCTGCCAGGGAACCACCATCCCCAGCACTTGCACCACAGTGTCTACCATCCCAGAAGGGCTGTGGTCCACAGGCCTGTTCGCAGACTTGGGCACAAAGTTACCCACAAGAATAACTGTTTCCTAAGCTGGTGTCTCCCCTCAACTCACTGCTGGACTCACCAGGCACACACAGTGAAGTGGCAGGTGACTGTGCCACCCCATCATCTGCTGGTGCACAAGCTGCTGCCTGATCCCTGACACTGCCCAAGACACAGCCCCACAGCACCTGCCCACCCTTCATGCTGACCCAGAGGCAGGCAGCCCTTCCCCTCTGAGCACCCACCCCTCACATTCACAACTAAAGCCAGGTGAGAACTTACTGTTCTTCTGCTTCTTCCTGTCACGGGGAGGCTCCTTCAGAGCTTTGATAATCAGAGCAGAGGCAGAAGGAACAACCTCTATCTAAATGGAAAGAGATTAATTGCTCCTCTTCTCCAAGCAGGATCAGGCAGCTAAGGAGGGCAGTGCCTGGAGAGCCACCTGCCAGGCCACTGAGCCCTGGTTAGGCTGTGGGTACACAAAGGGTTATTTTGTGATGCAGAAACTTGTTCCCAGCCTTTCGGCACAGGCCTCCCCACAAGCAGGAGAGGACTGCTTCCTAGACTGGGGCTTCCTCTCAGCTCACCACTGGAATATACCAGCCACAGAATGCAGGACAGGTATAGTGGCGGGTGGCTACAGCACTAAAGAGGGGTTTTCTTTGGTGTGTAATTTCTATGTTGTTTGAAATACATGTATTTCCTAGTCAGATGTTCTGTAGAAGGAACAATTTACTTGCATCAGGTTAAAACATCAGCTTCTCCACATGAGCAGATCTCCAACTGCCCAGACTGGGGAGCCCCAGGCTGCACACACCAACCCCCCCCTTCCTGCCAGGCTCCAACCAGGGAGCCTCAGAAGCTCAGGCAGGTGTTTAAGGTCTTTCCCAGAAGACCCCCACACATCCACTGTGTGGAACTCATTTTATCCACCTCGGAAGGATGAAGGGCTGAGTCGACCCTGCCGGGATTGGAGCTCGTGGTTGGAGCAAGCAGAGCTGGTCCGTGCTGGACGCCTGCACCCCAAAGCCATCCCCTCTGGCGTTCAGTACCTGCGCTTGCCTGTTCTGGATGGTGAGTTTCACCGTGATCCTCAGCCCCTTCCAGTCACCCGTGGCCTTGGCGATGTCATCACCCACCTTCTTGGGGGACTAAGGAGAGAGGACACAACCCATCACCGGGACCGCAGCGGGGCTGCCCCGTGCTAACCCCC